TATAATAAGTAATAAGATATTATATTTAGTTATTTAAAATAAAATAATATTATCGGGTTTTATAAAATTATTAATAGTTTTAAAAGCTTTTTGAAATATAGTATTTTTATTAATTCTATTAATTTCAGTTATAATAATAAGATAAATATATTAAATCGGGCTATAATAGTATTCTATAATTCCGATGAAATTATAAGCTTTTATAGAAACGAGTTTAATATTAGTTCCTATAATATTTATAAGTTAAATAAACTTCTTATTAATAAACTACTTTCCGATATCTATTATAATTAATTAAAAAGGCCTAAATAGATATTAATTTAATACTATTTTAGAATATTTCAAATATATAATATACTAATGTTTTAAAGCTATTAGCTAGCTTAATATTAAATGCTTTTATTAATAATATAAAATATAAACTTACTAGAAATATAGAAAATATTAATAATAATAAAATAATTAAAGCTAATATTATTTCTTAGATTAAACTTTAATTATTTTAGTAATTATTCGAATTTCTGGTATTATTTATAATACTTTATAAAATACTTAAAGGCTTTTATATTAATATTATAGCCTGCTTATTCTAGTATATTTCGGAGTTTACTAATAAATAAATAACTAAAATAGTAATATAAATATTATAATTCGACTTTTATAAAAAAAAACAGGAAATATAAATAAATAATTCGGAAATAAAGCTTTATAATATAGTATTTTAAAGCAGGAAAAAAAATCTAAAACATTATATTATAAATATAAAATATCTAATAGAAATAATAAGATAATTAATAAGATAATTAATAAGATTATTAAAATAGATCTCTAGCTTATTTATATTAGCTAAGCTAAATAAAAATAGAGTTTTTGTAGATATAATATAGAATTTTGCTTGCCTAATTAGTATTTTTATTATTATAAATCTAATAGAGAATATAGATCTAATATTAAACTAAATATTAATTTAATCTTTAATAATTTCATTAAATTAGATATTATTATTAGTATATTATAAAGCTTGGAATTAGTTAGAACTAGTAATTAAAAATCTAGAGATTCCGGTATTAATTATAATTCTATAAAAGTAATAAGTATTATATTTTAATATATTATTAATTATAAATATCTAGATATTTTCTATTTATTTAATAGATTTCAAGATATGGTTTTTGCCTATTATCTAATATATAAGAGAAAGAAATATAAGGTTATTTATAAGGGTATTAATTATAGAAATAATAAGAGTAATAGAAATAGCTAAAAAGCTTTTAATAGAAATAAAATAAAAATCCGAATAATATTTCTCTTTTTTATTTATTTCTACTAATAAGGCTTTAAAAGCATTATTTACTAGTTTGTTTTTATTATTTTTATTATTCTTATTATTCTTATTATTCTTATTATTCTTATTATTCTTATTATTCTTATTATTCTTATTATTCTTATTATTCTTTCGATTAATATCTTTATATTATCTTGATTATTAGTCAACAATTAATTTTTGAATAATAAAACAGAATTATAAAATGATTATATATCTTCGAAAATATTCTTCATTACACCCTTTCGAAGGGATAATATAAGTTCTTTGATCGATAGTCTAATGAAAACATTTTTGATCGAGAAATTATTATATATAATATTTCTCCGGATATACCCATTAAATATCAAAAAAAATTTTCCGAGATCAAAAATTATTTAGCTTTAAATCTATTTTACTTTATGATAATATTACTCATAAATATTATCGAATAAAGATTTTTCTGTTATAACTCGAATATATAATTTAATGATTTAATTATTGGATATATTTATTTTATATTATGATTTATGGACGAAGTATTTTATGCCCTTAAGACATATATTATTTTAATAATAAGGATAATTCCATCATGATCAATATTAATTATATATCAAAGCTAAGAAAAAGGTTAATACCGAAATTATAATAGATTATTTGCAGGATTAATAAATTAATGACTGAATATTTTTCTTATTATCATCTAATGATTGGCGTTTAAGAAAAATAATTTAATTATGTATGATAAGAATTTTAAGGAAATTACGATAATAACATTAGGCTTTAATAATTTATGCTTAGATCGGATTATTAGGGCTTGCATATTATTAATGAAATTCAGGATTATTAATATTTATTAACTATAAAAATTTTTAGTACAAAATATATATTCTTTGGGCTTATGATAAATATCTTCGTATATAATTTCTTTATTCTTTAATTCTTTTGAGCTAAATTCTTATCTTTATAAATAATTAAATCTAAAACTTTATGAATATTGAAATTATTTATAAATTATCATAATATATATCATATAATAACTTAAATTTTCTCTTTTCTTATTATTCTTATTATTCTTATTATTCTTATTATTCTTATTATTCTTATTATTCTTATTATCTTATTA